AATAAATCTCTACATGATGAAGCTACCCTCATTTTCCTGGAGAGTTGATGGATTTGAACTGATGACTTTGCTCTTAGCAACCTGCATCATTACACATTTCTGTCACCAGAGCTCATACATCCTTTACCATTTTATATGCAGGGTTTTGTTGTTGTTTTTAGCTAATGTAACAATTGTAAACAAAATAATAGTTTAATAAAATTATTTCAAAAAGGAAATGAAGAGAATGATAGATTCAAGATTAAAGGCTGGGAAAAAATGCAGGAGTGGCAATACTAATGTTAATTTTTTACAAAATAGAATTTAGAATGAAAACCACAATAAAAGATAAGTAAGGACACTATAAAATGACTAAAGGCACAGTAGTACAAGAAGACGTAACATTGGTCAACATCAATGCATCAAGTGATAGACCAGCTAAATATATAAAAGAACTGCTAACAGAATTGAAAAAAGAAATGCCACCACAATAGTGGTGGGAGACTTTAATATACCACTCTCACTAAAGGATAGATCAGTTGAATGAAAACTTTAAAAATGTGCAGAAGATCAACCAACTTGACCATGTTGATGTATTCTGAGTACTCTACCCAATTAAAAATCAATTAACTTTCTTATCAAGTACATATGGCACATTTTCCAGAAATGATAACATATTAAACACAAAGTAAGACTCAACAAATTAAAAAAAAAAACACCACATTGAAATAATGCAAAGTGTCTTTTCAGACCACAATGCCATAAAAGTGGAAATGAACCATAAGAGGAGAAAGCTTATAAAACCACCAATGTGGAAGGTAAATTACACTCTGCTAGACCACATTTGGGTTATAAAAGAAATAAAGAATGAAATAAAAAAGTTCCTCAAGATTTTATAAATTATTACCTAACTTGGGAGGGACTGGAGAGTGTTGTGCTGAATAAGCTCATTAAGTCCCACAAAGATAAATATTGTGTAAAACCATTAGGGTAGAATGAGTATAAGGATCCAAGAGCGGTTGGAGAGGCTGGAAGCAGAGGAACGTGGATGTGCCAGGGGAGGGAGATTATTCATCGGGCTGTACAGTGTGATGGGTGGGGGGATGAGGGAGATTGAAATAATTTCTTCAAATTTGTATTTGAATTTTATAAATAAACTTGTAGAAAATTTAAAAAAAAAAAAAGGATGGCAAAAAACTCCCAACAACAATAACAAAAAAACCTGCAAAACAAATTATAATGAAAATATACCAAAACCTCTGGGATGCAGCTAAAGTAGTTTTTAAGGGCCAGTTCATGTTGTTGTTGTTGTAGCGACCCTATGTACAGCAGCCCTAAGCCCTGCTCTGTCCTGTGCCAATCACACTGCCTCTGACACACCCATCCCGATTACCCCAGTCACTGAATCAGTCCATCTCATAGAGGGTCTTGTGCCATCCCTTCACCCTCCCAAGCATTATGTCCCTCTCCAAGGACCTGTCCCTCCTTGCAACATGCCCAAAGTCTGTCAGATGAAGCCCCAGAATCCTGGCCTCCAAGGAGTTGCTTGGTTTAATCCTCTCCAGTATGAATCTGTTTGTTTTCTTGGCAGTCAATGGTACATTCAATACTCTTCTCCAGCACCACAGCTCAATTCTCCTTCTGTCCTCCCTAGTCATTGTCCAACTCTCTGATGCATAACAAGCCTGTATCAGGTACACCTTAGTCTCCAGAGAGACACCGTTGCTCTTGAGTACTTTAGAAAGGTCCCTAACAGCAGACTTTCCCATCACAATACGCTTTTTTATTTCCCGACTGCTGGTGCCAAGAGTGTTGACCATGGAGCCAAGCAAACTGAAGCTGTAAACAATCTCAATCTCTTCGCCATCCATCCTGATGCTACCGATTGGTCCAGTGGTGAGAATCTTTGTCGTCTTGACATTGAGCCTCAGTCCATACTGAAGACTGCAGTCCTTGACCCTCCGTAGCAAGTCCATGAGGTTCTCCTCAGTTTCAGCAAGCAGGGTTGTGTCATCTGCATAACGCAGATTGTTAATAGATCTTCCATCAATCCTGATGCCACACTTCTCTTCATAGAGCCCAGCCTCCTGGATAATGTGTTCTGCATACAGGTTGAAAAGGTATGGAGACAGGACAGACCCCTGGCGTACACCCTTCCCAATTTTGAACCACGCAGTGTTGCCCTGCTCTGTTATGACGACTGCCTCTTGATCCAAGTATAGGTTTTGCATCAGCACAATTAAATGTTCTGGGATTCCCATTCTTCTCAGAGTCAGCCACAGTTTGTTATGATCCACACAGTCGAACACCTTTGCATAATCAATGAAACACAGATAGACATTCTTCTGCTATTCCCTGCTTTCAGCTAAGATCCATCTAACATCAGCTACAATATCCCTAGTACCACGACCCCTTCTAAACCCAGCCTGGACTTCTGGCAATTCTGTGCTGATGGGCTGTTCCAGTTGTTTTTGGATAATCTTCAGTAGAATCTTGCTTGCATAGCAACAGGCGAATACATAAAAACAAATGAGGAAGTACACCTTCATCAAATAGAAAAAGAACAAAAATCTGATAACACAGTCTCTAGAATAAAGGGAATTATAAGAACAAGAGCTGAAATCAACAAGATAGAAACCAGAAAAACATTTGAAACCTCCCACAAAGCCAGGATATGGTTTTTTTAAAGGATCAATAAAATTTACAAACCATTGGCAACAAACTATTGGTACACTTAATAAAAGTAAGAAAGGAGAAGACACTAATAACTTCGATTAATTAATGATAGAGATGACATCAGAACAGAACCAGAGGAAATTAAATTTATAAAATCAGAACATTATTGAAAACTTAGAGGAAAAGGACAAATTCCTTTGAATTCATGCCCTACCCAGATTGACATGGTCAGATGTAGAACATTTGAAAGAAGAAATTAAGCAAGTCATGAAAAGACTCACCCCACAAGAAATTCCTGGACCAGATGACTTCACAAGTGAATTCTGCCAAACATTCAGAGATATATCACCAATTCTACTTCAATTATTTAAAAACATAGAAAAAGAAGCAATATTCCTGGAGGTATTCTATGAAGCAAGCATAATCCTAATACCGAAACCAGTTAAAGATATTACCAAAAACTAAACTACAGACCATTATGTCTCCTGAATAGACACAAAAATCTTTAATAGAAATCCTAGTCTGTAGAATCCAAAAGTGCATAAAGAAATAATTCATCATGACAAGTGGGATTCAAAGAAGAATGATTTAACGTAAGAAAAACAACATAATCCACTGTGTTAACAAAGTAAACAATAATAACCATATGATCTTAGCTATTGATGTAGAAATGACATTTGATAAACCCAACACCCTTTCCTGATTAATTCAGTCAGCAAAATTGGAATAGAAGGGAATTTCCTCAACATAGTGAAAAATACATATGCAAAGCCAAGAGCCAATACTGTTCTTAATAGGGAAAGCGTTTTCCTTTTGAACAGGGATCAGACAAGGATGCCCACTATCACCACTTCTAGTCAATATTGTACTGGAAGCACTTGTTAGAGCAGTACAAGAGAATAAAATAAAAGGCATTCAGATTAGCAAAGAGATGGTTAAACTGTCATTATATGATGATGTTATGATAGTGTACACATAAAACTCCAAGGATGCAACAAAAAAACTGTTAGAGCAAGTGGACCAGTTTAGTAGAGCTGCAGGATACAAGATCAATATAAAAAAAATCATTGGAATTCCTCTACAGTAACAAAGAGAAGTTGGAGAAAGAAGTTAGGAAAGCAATACCATTTACAATAGCCAACCCCAAACTGAGATACGTGAGAGTAAACCTCCCTAGAGACACAGAAGACCCGTACATTGAAAACTATGAAACATTTCTTCAGGACCCAATACAAGATCTAAAGAAATGGAGAAATGTTTCCCGTTCATAGATAGGAAGACTCAATATTGTGAAAATGACAATCCTGTCTATAGCAATCTCCCTGTTCATCACAGTCACTTATACATACCAGATTCATTTTTCAAGGAAATTGTCCAAGTTTATTTGGAGAAGAAAGAGACCTCGAATAAGCAAAGCACTTCTGAAAAACAAGAATGAAGTGGATGGCATAGCACTCTCTAACCTCAAAAAATACTTCACAGCATGTTACTGGTATAGTGACAGGCACATAGAACAATGGAACAGAATCAATAATGCGGAAATTGACCCATCTGTCTAAGATCAGCTGATATTCAGTAAGGAATAAAACCTATCAAATGGGGAAATGACAACCTCTTCAACAAATGGTGCTGGCAGAACTGGATTGCTAAGTGTAGAAAGCTGAAACAGGATCCACCTCTCAACCATACACAAAAAATCAACTCAAGGTGGATCAGAGACCTGGGAGTAAAGCCCAAAACTGTAAAGTGCTTAATAGACAAACTGGGGCCAAGCATAGAAGACCTAGCCTATAGTGTAAAGAGTATGTCAAATATAGCCAGAAATGCATAATCTGGTGAGCATTAAATTGATGAATGGGACTTTATAAGTATTATCTCTGTGTTCATCAAAAGTTTTTTTCAACCATTATTGGAGAAATAGAATGATAACTTAATAAAACGTATGGAAACTCAAGGTGTGGGAGGACTGAAGATGGGTGAAACCACAGGGTTACACAGTTTTGTAGGTGGAGGGAGCAGGAGAAGGAAATGGGAAAAATCCGGAGGGAAAGACAGGACAATGATGGACAAGATCCAATAGTGATTAATTTTATAAAACATAAGGAATGAGAATCATTGTATGAAATACAGTGTGAATGAAGAATAGTGTGAAACAGTGTATACCAACTTTCTAAAGAAACCAATTAATATAAAATAGAAATCGTCATTATAGTAAAAAGGAAGAAAGTGGGAAAAAATACCTGGAGATAAAAAGGCTCTAAATAAACAGAAATGACAATGAAAAAATATTGCTGTATTTTAGCCTTGATGACTTGGGGAGATACCTTATTATCTTTTACCTGTAGGTGTTAACAGCTGAAAAGAAGACTTTGATTGCAAAGCACCTTGAGTTATCCCCTCAACCCAAAGAAGGTAATTTTTCTTTTTATAAAAATTTTATTTTATACTGGTTTACTTAAATTTGTATACATTGTGTTTCACACCATTATCTTTCCCACTTGCATTACCTACCTATCAAATTGTGTGACCCTATGATTACTACCTCCCTTCCCCCACCTGTCTTTACTCCTCTGTTCCAACTCTTCTCCCCTTAGATCCATATACATGTTATACTATTTGTCTACAATAATGGTTTTATACTTTATTTGTCCTTAAGGGACTGATTGAGTTAGTTCACTTAGCATAATGCTCTCTAGTCCCTCACAAGTTAGGTAGAAGGTAATGTATTTTGTTGATTTCCTGTCAGTGATCGACAAAAATCCTTCTTTGAAATATTTACTTAAATTGTAAAATGTTATCTAGGCAGGATAAAATGAACAACAATAACATGAGGACAGCGAAGTCTGACTCGTGTTTACACCACAAAGGGGAACTGTCCCCATCAATAACATTCATAGCTCTCTGGGTTTGGTGCTTGTTTGCGGCGCAATGGCCAAACGCACCAAGAAGGTCGGCATCGTCGGTAAATATGGGACCCGTTATGGTGCCTCGCTCAAGAAGATGGTAAAGAAAATTGAAATCAGCCAGCATGCCAAGTACACTTGCTCCTTCTGCAGCAAAACCAAAATGAAGAGACGAGCTGTGGGCATCTGGCACTGTGGTTCTTGCATGAAGACAATAGCTGGTGGCGCCTGGACCTACAACACCACCTTGGCCGTCACGGTGAAGTCAGCCATCAGAAGACTGAAGGAACTGAAAGACCAGTAGAAGTTTCCCCATTTGAAGCATCTCTAGCCTGTAATAAATGGGTTAATTTATGTAAAAAAACCCACAGCAACAACATTCATAGTACCAGCAAATATATACAAGGTCAGATTTGGCACTCTCCCATTATTGCCCCCCCCTTCCTTTTGCACCTGGTTCTTTTGATCACTGGATCTAGGTGTTTGTTGCAAATTGACTCACAGACTTGACTTTACTTGACTCACAGACTTGACTTTACTCACAGTTGTGGGCTTTAAGGATATAGATTATGAGGGTGGGGAGGTGAAAGGTATCACACAGTGAACCACCAGGCTTAGTCCAATAGTTACTAGATTAACAAGACATAGTTCCTCAATTAGTTTAGACAGTTTCTCAGTCAAAAAGTTAAAGTCCAGCAACATAATTGCAAGATGTCTCTGGTTTCCTCAGTTGTCCAGCCAACTAATCCCACTTCAGCTAGTCCTTCAGTTATTTAGCAAACAGAATTTTTAACTTGCGCTCCATCTCCAGGACACCTCTTCACAGTTTCCCTGCTTTGAGTTAGCACTATCTTTTATGTTGTCCTCGCAACTTTTGACAATGTTGAAGATTCTGATCAACAGATGAACCATGCATGTGTCTGCTTTTGAGACAGCTGGAGACCATACCCTCAGTTGAGGCGAAGGCAGTAGATAGAAAAGCCGTTTTTAAAAGTCATAACACCACACGCAGACATGGATAAAAATACAGAAGCAATGTAAACAGAGCTTCTCTCTGTTAGCATTTACACTATTTTTTCCATCCTCTACTGGAAGTATTACATTTCCTATGTGTCCTTCCTTATCTTAGAATCTGCTTTTCTTAGGCTCATAACTTTGGAGTTTTGAAATAAACCCTGACTTGGTAAATATATTTTAGGCCTCTCATATGAAAACTGTCCTATTTTAGATTAGTGGAGTTCTTGAAGCCTAATGGCTACATAATAAGCTATTACCTGAACTTCTGGTTGCCTAGTGGGTAAAATGTTGTACTACCAGCCCAATGGCATGTAGTTCAAATTTAGAGGCTGCTCCACAGGCAGTCTTCTTTGATGTCATATACAGCTTCTAAAACCCAGTGGAGAGTCTGTTATAGGTTTTTTTCTGACGTGACAGCACATAACATCAGTGGTTCCATAGAAGATCCTAAAAATTCTATGGAGCATTTCTACTTTGTCACATGGGGATGTTTTGCATCAAAATTGACTTGAAGGCACCTAACAACAATTCAGGCTATGAAATTCTTACTTAGTGAATTTATTTGCAAAGCTTTTCAACTATAAATAATAAGAAACTTTACATTATTATGTTTGAACAAATAGGGTTGAATAAAAATTTAGGAAGCCAGACTCAGTTTCTGAATTCAGCAGCTGCCCTTATTGTAGGATTTGTTGCCCTGGTAGTGAAGTCAGATAGCTAGATGTCTAGGCCAAGTTCTTGGGATGAGCAAATATTTTGAAGGTTTTTTTAAAGTAAATGATCTATTTCTTCTGCAAATAAATGTTCTCTCTAGATTGGTCTGTTTGGCTGGGATATGTTATGTAGAGTCATTTATATCTTATAAAGATAATTTATAGAAATGAAGAAAAGAGTAGGTATCAAGTGAGCAACTGTCTGTGTCCCTATATTCAGTTACACTGGTGGCAGGGTGAGAATACTGGGCTAGAGGCTTCCATTTGATTTGAGTGTTGGTCCTGTTGTTTCTTGACTTTGTGGAGAGCAAATGAAATGCTCTGAGTTTCGCTTTCTACATTTGTGACATCGACACACTGTGGTACACTGGGATATTGTATTGTGTTGTCAGACACGTAGAGTAGAACTGCCCTATACCGTTTCCAAAGCTGTAATGTTTACAGGAATAAATCAGCAGATCATCTTTCCTCTAGTGGCTGGTGGATTTGGACTCCAGACTTTCTAGTTATCAGCTGAGTGTTTCACCACTGCACTTCCAGGGCTCCTTATCTATTTTGTGAGCTACAAAATGTAGATAAAGTAACCTAGTCCTAAGGATTATACTTAGCAAGTACTTCTTTTGTGGCCGCAATTGCTGTTGCACTTACTATTGAGAGCAGAAACATGTATATGGTAATTGTCTTAAAATTCTACAAAGTGGAAAACTTTCTGTAGCTAATAAGACGAAGCATTTTAAAGCAGTCATGACTCAAGAGTAAGACAACAGAGTATATAAACAGTAGGTCAAGCCTTCTTTGCTAAAGACACTAGAAAGCAAATATCCTGGACGCTGGGGATTCCAAAGGGAAGGAACTGAAGGAAAACGGAATGAAAGACAGATGGAACACAATACTATAAACAAAGTTGTAGTTGGGTGCCATTGAGTGTGCTGTTGAGTCAGAACTGGTCCAATGCTGACCCTCCAGTGGGTTTTCAAAGGCAGTTAATCACATGGTAAGAGATTGTTGAATTAAAACTGTGTGCCTTTGAGATTGCAGCACAACTTCTTAGTACTAGTACACTAGCTCCTTCCATTTGGCATAACTGTTTTCTATATCTGTCTACTTGGTGTAGGAATCTGAGTCTGCAGAATTATTGAAACCAGTGGCTAGCTAAAAAAAAAAAAAAAAAAGATATGACTTCCCCCTTGCTGCCCAGGCCCTTTTAGAAATTCTGACAGTGACTTTTTGGTTACTATCCACCAGATTCAGTGACTGGGACAATTAGGATGGGTGTATCGGAGATGGTGCGATTGGCACAGGACAGAGCAGTTTAGGGCTGTTGTACATAGATAGGGTCGCTGTGAGTCGCAAGCGACTCGACGGCATATAACAACAACATCCACCAGGTGGTAGGTGTCATTCCGTGGGCCATTTCAGTTTTACTTGACATCAGGCTCACACAGTTTTATATCTGGTGATGGGAGCATGCACAGATTTATATGCAGACTCTCTGTAGGAATCTGCAGATTGTGCCATGCTGGCTTTATGTGGAATAACAGGAGTACTAACTCTGACTGAGGTCCTGGCCTTTCACTGAGCACTATTGCCTCCTATACTCGACAGACATTTTGGAGCAGTGCACTCTGCTTTATGTGCAACATTCTTATGAATTTCAGGTCTTTGATGACTGTCACTTCACACTAGTCTTCTCTGACTGGGTACCTTGCCAGCACCCACCTTTTAAACTAGCAAGGAGATCTCTAGCCAGGTGCTCTATCCACGGTTCCTCTGAGGTCAGCAGAAACTCTGTCACAGATGCATTACTCCTTGACAGACACTTCTAGGCCACATACAGTCTTCACCCACAAAGTGTGCCAGAAAACAAACAGATAAGATAAAACAAGCAAACAACAAACCCCAAGAAGGATAAGATGAAAGAAAAAGTGGCCAAAATACAGAACCAGAAAATCCTTCGCAGAAGGAAGGCCTTGAAAACCTCCTAATAAGGAATTATTATAACAGGCTGCATCAGTGCATCAGGATAATGGTGCTGATACTTGTCCCTGAATTTTGAAAAAGGCTCATGAGCCTTCACGAACTAATCCTTAAAAGATCATAAATGACCTACTGACAACTTTCTTCTCAGGGAACCTTAGTGACTTGAAATTATATAAGTGTACGTCCTTGGATATAAACTTGAGGAACCCGTTATTTGCATAATTTGAAATGTTCTTTTAGAAAAGGTTTGAAACACAGTACTTTTTAATCTCCCAAATGAAGATACAATTTTTATTTCTAATGACTCTTGCCAGGTTAAGCAGTGTTATTCATTACTAAGTGTTAATTGTGTTTAGGACTTTCTTCTAAGTGGTACAGCATTGTTCTGTCTGTTTGCTGTACTGAGTTAACTTAGGGTTGCTGTGATACTGAACACTGTGCCACTGGTACGTAAACTGCCATAATGATTACCCATGGTGGACAGTGTTTGGTGGAGCTCCCAGATTAAGACAAGCTTGGAAGCAGTAGTGGCATCCACTTTCCAAACAACATGCCTCTGGAAACTTTATGAACTTAAGAGAAACACTGATAGTTATAGAACAGGGGTCAGGTCTTTTGTTCATAGGGTTGCTATGAGTAATTTTCAACTCGATGGCATTGGACAACAACAGTGTTCATTACTAAAATAAATCTGGAGAACATTAAAATAATTGTTTTATTGTTTACTGTTGAGTTGGAAGCCATCCATAGCTGACCCTCTAGCGAGTTTTCAGAAGCAGTAAATCGTATGGGAGGAGAC